TAAAAAACAAAAAAGAAAAAAATAAAAAAAAAAAAAAAAAAAAAAAAGAGTTTATAATTTTGGCAAAAATGTTTTCTCATCTACTACTATCACTTTCTGCTTTCAAGCCCGTTTCATAGACTAGATAAGTAGATAGTAAAATGTTAATAAAGTAATAATGACAACTATTTATGTCGTGTACGCGAAAATGCCCCAATAATTAGCATCTGGTTAGTGGTTACTTGATGCACAGATTTTGTAGCTAATAGCAACAAACTTTGGTCTGTGAAACGAAATTTGATAGACTGGATCAGTGGATCCCTGACTGAGGACATTTAAATAACGGTCCAGCAACTTTTAGTCTGCTCTTTCACTTAAATTCCTACTGAAATATTATCGAAAATTCTCAGAGTTGGCTCTCGAATTTCCTACTTTTTGTCAAAAATTTCCTACTTTTAAAAATTTCCTACATTCTTAGAATGCGAGAATGCGGGTTTTTGGATATGGGCTACTTAGTGATTAGTAAAAGAGTCAAATCAGGGTACAGAGGCCGCCACAAGAACGGCAGTAATCAAAGCAGATTGCAGCATGCAGTTTACCTTGTCGAAATTCGTCCGAATGACAAAAGAAACGCTTTAGAATGCGACAAAACACATAAATTACGCGACAACGATACACACAACCCACATTGCTAATAAGGCTTCTGTTAAATGGAGCTCCGAACTGATGAACATTCAACAATTATCGTTCCTCAAGTTCCGTTACTAAAGATCTCGCATTAGTTTGTATTCTTATAATTGAGAAAAGGAGCAGGAAACTACAAAAATGTTCCAGTAAATGAGCCAGTCAGCCAGTACCGCTTTATAGATCTAGAAGGAGGGAGAGAGAGCGTTGTTAGGTGTTGAGCATGAAAACAGACGGCCTCCTCGGTAACATGATCCGATAATATTCCTTGACTACAGCAGCTTATATGTATATATTTTAAGCTACAACTGCTAAGCGTATAGCTGACAGGTAGGTTTACATTCAGTGTAAGTAACTTGTCACGGCAAGTCTAAAAACTACAGTTGCTAATATAAGAGCCGCTAAGAGTCCCGGAGCTGACGGATATAGCCGAATATTGCACATATTGGATCTAGGTCTGACGTAAATGGCAAAATGGGTCTTGTGTGTTATTAGTTGATAGAAGGACTAGGTGCTGGCATCGGCCATTGATGAGGTCATGAAGAGACCTTTTATTGACAAGTTGGAAGGGTTAAATCACTAATTTACTATGTCACAATAACAACAATATGACAGTTTAGAAACTCAGCATACCGAACATATGACACATATTGAAAAATCGTGTCATTGTCAACGATTGATGGAAATGTTAAATGCGTAAACCCGAACCGGTAGTAATTGTTCTGATTGGGAAGTCTAGTTTCCAATTATTTTTGTATGCAAGTGACCGCTAAGCTAAATCTTCTGGAGAAGCTCGACAAAAGCAAATAGCACACTCAACAGTAAGTTGACAAGTTGACGCACGTACGGGTCAATTAACGAATTAAATCATAACAAACCAAGGAATGTCATCCAGGAGTGATCTATTTGTTCACTGCTTAGTGCTTCCCGTTTTGGAAGCCAGGAAATAACCATCCATGCGGATGAGCAAACAGAACAACATTTACAACAACGTTAAACCAGTCGAATGGCTCCTGTGGCTAATGCATTGCTTGCCAAACTGCTGTAGTGAAAGAGAACACGCAGAGTATTCTTAAATAGTACTGTACAGCACATCCAGTAAAACTGGAGGCTAATAATCGACCGGAAAACACTGCATAACAAATCGAGGAAAAAGCGGAAGTTAATCAAACATGTATACCGAGCTATGCAGCGACGGAGACACAAGTTAATTACACACGATGTTAGTTTCACAGTGCACACAGTGCAGATAATAAGCCTATCCCCAAATATGGAATAATTGGCTCACTGTTGAGTAAATTTGTCTGCGTTAAACATAGATGAATGTGTAAGCATAATGTATAGTATCATGTTTCCGGAAGAGCCCATACTCTGGTACATCTCCAAGGTTGACGCGAGGGAACTACAAAGGTAGATGTACACACGAACTACAAACCAACTCCAACACTCAAACCATAATGCAGCAAATCGCATAATGTCGCGCGCGCAGGTCACGCGAGTATCACGTGACATCAGCTAACCTAGAGCGAATGTACAAAACAGAATGCTGACAATGTGAGGAGTAAATAGCTGACCTTTACTTCTTCTCTCCCGTAGATGGGCTGTCTGACATCAGATTTGGTATGGGAGAAAGGGCAATGGGCACCATTCTTCAAACAGTGACCCGAATTGTCTGTCTCGTTCGGGCATATGACTGTCTTGTAATGCCTCAAATGGTATTTCCTTTCGGTGTCCCCAGCATTCTTGTGTAACAATAAGCACCTGGTAGGTTAAAATGTGTCAAATATAGTATGGATTCCCAGGAGGATGCCGGACAAAACAGTCAAATAGAATCAGCAAAATAGCTAGCTGTGTCCTGTGGCAGGGAATTGCGCTACACAATTAACGGTGAGTGCCTAATGGTATCAGCAAATACAGTTCCCTCGAAAGTCGAACTTACTTATCCTCATTTGGACAGACCCCAGTTGTTTCGTCATACTCTGTACAGTATGTAAATGGACTGTACGTGAATTCTCCATCGCTATCAAGAGCGGGCCGCCGGCGACGTTGGTTCTTGAAATGCCAGTAAAAGCAGGTAAATGGGCGATGGTGTGAACACTTGTGTTGAAGGAACATAGAGCACTGTTCCACTCTAAAATGTTCCAAATACCTGAATATTTTGACATGTCATTGTCTTAGATCTTTCTAGAATAAATACATTATTTTTGACGAGTAAAAAGGGGAACTTTAACGCGCATTGCGCGCGATTTCTGGCGATGTAAATGTTACCAGTGGAAACTTTTCATCTAAGGCTCCCGAGAAAAGCACACAATTCAAGCATTTAAGGCACAACAAAAGCCGCGCGCACGAGTTTTTAAATGGCGCCAAAAGAACAAGTCACGGGATTCGAGCTATTGAAAATTTTGGCAGGCAAACGCAAAATACAACCGAATTGTTCCGGTACAGAAAGGCACGTAATCTGACCTTATAAATAATCTTGTCACCTCCGCGCATATCATAAGTTCTGATAACTGCCAATTCAGGCACTGAAGTCCTAATTACCTACAATAGTGTGTAAAACAAATATTTGAGTACATGCGCTGATAACGATTTTCATTTGTAAGTTTTCTTACTCACCAGTTTTTTCCGTCACAAATTGTGAAGACAATGGGTGCCATGGTGGAAAACCTTTTCCTAAAGACGCAGATATTATATTCTGAGACCTCCGAGATGGTTCTTCATCGCTAACATATTGATCCAAAATTAACCATTATATTCAAATTTTGATTTTATTCTTCACCACATTCAAAAGTGCTCCATTTTTATAGAGAGATAATACTTATCAAATGTGTTCTATTGTATAATATATTAGCCCGGAAATCCTGAATTGGCGGCAAGCCGACTGCAGTAGAATATTAAACTTAGCTTCCCAAAATAGATCTATTATAAGCCTTGGAGTGCGTGACTTCTGAATTCTATATAGCCCCTAACTAGACGCACGGCACTTAGTAGATCACGTACCAAACCGCGTGATGCACCGTCTAGTTTAAAGGAAATAGACAGGATCATGAACTGCTACTCAAATTACTGTGTTTCAAAGGAGCTAACATTATTTCTCGGTATTTCACCTCTGCTGTATAAAAACTAAGTTTTTGGGTTGGGCTGAGGGCTGTGGGATAGAATTAGGGTTAAGGGATTGAGTAAGGGTTAGAGTTACGGTTATGGTCAAAACTGGGAATAGAGTAAGGATCGGGTCAGGTATTATTGGTGGCAAAACATCGTCACATAAAATGTCGGAGGATTAAATGTTTATTAAGCTCTTAAATGACCTGAACCAGATCTCTTACACGTATCGTTTGGTTTTATCAGGTCACCTGATAAGACCCAACAATACGTGTAAGAGATCTGAAGACCAGATGTTCTTTAGCAAGACTTTAATTGGAAAGTGTTAGTGTGTTGGGGTTTTGCAAGGATATAGGCTTGGCTCAGGGTTTGAGTTAGGGTTAGTTTTATCTTTTTATGGTCAGGGGATAAGAGATGGAACGTCGGACAGTAAGATATTTTAGGCCACACGACTGACAGTAGATATCCATTGAATTTCCCTCATATTAGTTTGAAGCAAAGAAAATTATCATATTCAAAGCGGTTCTCGATTGCAAATAGAAATAATTTTGAAGCAGACTTAGCAGTAAGGACTAAAGTGAGAAGTAATCCTAAAAACCATAAAGAGATTAGTAGTCGATGGCTAGTCAATGACTTACTCTTAGAACATTTGCATTAAAGAATACATATTGCTCATTGATGTATACATGATTTCATGATGGATGTATTACATCATGTAACATAAGTTCACAGTCGGTTGAGGGCAGTTAACAAAAAAAGTAAAAAAGTGTAGTTAACACAGTATACATTAAACTGTTCACTAATTAGTGCTGTACCACGGCCGCTAAAAACTGGCTCTAAATTTCGAGTTTTTACTTTTTAGTGTAGTTCTATTGTTATTTTGAGCTTTTATCGTAAGAATAACTCAATAAAAAACGTACAAACCTCTTGTGGAACTGAGTCTCCTGGTTGCTCCAGAGTTCTGCTGATTTTGCCATCATTTCTCTATCGTTCTTCCTAATAAAAGGTTACAATTATTTCACCTAAGAAAACACAAAGACAACAGAACTAGATGAAATAATGTGTTTGTATAGAGTACAGTGAATACCGCCCATGTGGATAGCAACTGGCACAAGCAAGAGAAATAAGCAATAGGTTCAATAGCCAGTTCATTTTATAAAATTAAAGCGCCTTAGCTGATCTTGTGCCAATTTTAATACAAAGCGCCAATTAAAACAGCAATAAAACCATAGGAGTGAAGAAATGTTCTTTATTTCATGTTACAAATACAATAAAAAATAACATTGCTAATGCAGTCCTGTTGCGTATATTTAAATTATTATGAATAAATAAACCAGTTAAAACTTCAAAAGCGAGACATTGTCCTATTTTATAAGAAACAAATCAGTAGCCCTACTTAAATTCAAAGAGTTAACAAATTACAAAATAACTAAACCTTCTGGACAAGAATGACACAAATTTCCGTTCCGAAACCAAAGCTGATTTCCAGTGCTAAAAACCATTAAAATGATTTAACCTAAAGAATTCTACAGTACAATCCTGTAATTACAAAATAACTTAACCTTCTGGACAAGATTGACAAAAATTTCCGTTTCGAAAACAAAAACTGATTTCAGTGCCAAAAACCATAAAAATGATTTAACCTAAAGAATTCTAAAGAATTCTACAGTACAATCCTGTCACCTCTTAGTTTCAGCCCACTCAACTTGTTGCTTAAAATCGGAATAAACTCTCTGACAATTAACATTAGTAGCAACTATCTTCAACAGCTCTTTCAGGACACTCAGTTTGTCCTCGTTGAAGAGAGTGGGTAGAGGTGAGGAAATGAGGCGCTGGAGAAGTGAGTGTAGCCTGTCCTCCTCTTGCTGCATGGTCAGATACCGGACCAGGGAGGATAACCACAGCCTGCACTCGGAGAAAGAACTCAGGTTCTCCGCTACCAGGATCTGTTGCTCTAACATGAGGACAGTGTTGAGGTGGAGCTTGTCTCTGTTGGTGGAGCTGGTGTCGGGGGTGGAGACGTGGGTCTGGAGGATGGGGCACAGGATTTGAGAGGGTGTGGTTTGTTGTTTGTTGGTTTGGAGTTCTTTGTACCAGGTCGAGTCTAGTTGGTGGTGGCCGATCAACATCCATGCTGATAGACTGTAACTGTAACAGTAGCTGGTTTTGTTGCTCAGTCCAATTGTTACATTTCCTTCTTTTGTGATCTCCAGGCTGCAGATGGACTGGTTTTCAGTCATGAATGACGCAAGAGATTCATCTTTGAGAACGTTCTTCTTCTCAGCAACGTTCCAAATTGCCAAAGCAGGAGCACTAGTGATCACCACAACATAATTCCCATTAACAGCAGACTTTACAATAGAGCACCCCACATTGAGAACAGGAAATGCTAAAACCCCCTGTTTGTTATAAACATGAAGTGTGCCATCTTGACATCCCAACACCAGGTAACTATCTCCCGCAGAGAGTGATGTAGCCTTGCTGTATATAACTGTCTTCCAAGACTTGGGTCCCAGAGTGAAACTCACCATGTTCTGAATGTTATCAACCTCTACTCTGCAACCAGAAATCAAGGCAAAAAGTTTGTCTTTAGATTCTAATTTCTGTTGTGTTTTTAAAACAGGAGTTTTCCTAACTGGTTGTAAACGGTTTGACAATTTAACTGGAATGTCACCGAGACTAATAGCACTACTTTTAGTCTCTAAGGGAAGCACTTCAGAAGCTTTAGAGTTAGATACTGGGGTTAACAGCACCCGTTTGGTTGCTTGAGTAGGCTTCTGAGACGCTACAGGAACTTCTTTCAGTGTAATGGGCATGATTCTCCTTCTGCCGTCTTTAGTAGTGGTCTCTACTTGCTTATTAAATACATTAGAGGATACAGGTGAGGATACTGAGGAGGAAGGTTTGGAGGAAACTGAGGAGGATGAGGGCTTTTCAAAACGTAAGGACAGTTTGTCGGGGACAGAGCTGAGAATTTTATCGTTTTTACCATTACCATTTGAATTAGAGAAGGCATTTGCGAATCCCCCGTTGTTTGAAGTGGAGAAACCGTTATGTTGGTGACGAGGTTCCGGCTGCAGACTACCCTCCCTTGACTTGGAACTAGCTTCTGTACTGAGCTCATCTGTTGTGTCTACATCCATTGGTTCCTCTGAATCGCTGCTCAAAGATTCCTCATCACCATTTTGGTCTTCTTCATCCTCAAGAAGATCAGGATTTTCTATGATAGTGAGTTTCTCCGGTTTAAATGAACCGTACAAACTACTTCTCAAGCTTGCTGTCTGCTGAGGGGACAAAGTCTTACCAATTTCAGCACTGCTCAGCTCAATATAAGCTAAACTCCCATCAAGAGAACAGATAAAAAGTCCGTATCCATCAGGAGTCCAGGACATGTCCAGCACTGAGCTGGTGAAGACATCATGCAGAACAAACAGGGGCCGTTTCAGAGCAGTTAACCAGACAGATATGCTGCTGTCTCTACCAGCAATAGCTACACATGATACTGGTCTTTTGTTGTAGTAGAATAGATGAGGGTTGAATCTGACACTCTCTATTGCACGACGGTGGCCAACAAAGTCCATCCTAGCTTTCCAATCCTCTCTTTCAATAATCTTTGCGACAGGGCCCTCGTTGTTCATTGCGTGAGAGGACACGATGTACTGACCATCAGGCGACCAACCGATCCTGAGAACGGTTGTAGTTCCTCCACATTTTGAAAATGGGTCGCTTATCTTAGCTTCCTCCTGCCAGTCAGACAGACGCCAAACTCGCAAAGTTCTATCCGTTGACTGAGTGGCCAGATATCTGCCGATAGGATCCCAAACTACACCTTTCACCATACCATCGTGACCTTTTAATGTAGTCAGCTTTTCAGGAAAATTCCGACAATTCCACACGATAACACTGTTATCAATACTTGAGGATGCTAAGTAGGAATCATCAGGAGACCAAGCCAAGTCCAGCACATCACCGTCATGTCCACGCAAGATATGAAGACACTTATAAGATTCTGACTCAGAACCCTCATACCTCACAGCCCCCCAAATCATCACTACTTTATCATCACTAGCACTTCCTAGAAATTGACCACTGCTGGACCACCTAACACAGTTGACACATCCTTGGTGGTGCTCAAGTGTGGCAATACTCTTCTTGAAGGCAGACTTCTCAGCTTTCTGTCGAGCTACAGGTGCTACATGCCAGATGGTGATGCGACCATTGCCCTCTCCTTGTCCTCCTGTAGCAAATTTTTTACCATCAGGGTGAACATCACACGAAAAGAGCGGCTCTTTTGATCGAACCCACGAGGGTTTAACTATCCTCATTCACCTCTGATATTTTATGTTCGGTACCATTCTGAAAATATTGTTGAATTTGTAATATATCCAAGAGTATACAAAACAAATGGGAATAAGTTTCAATGATCAACATCAGATATTACATTAGTTCGGTACCATGCTAATTCTGAAAATATTGTTGAATTTGTAATATATCCAAGAGTATACAAAACAAATGGGAATAAATTTCAATGATCAACATCAGATATTACACTACAGTAGTGAAAACATAACAATCTTTTCAACTTAATATAATATGGTCATAATATAGTGTCCCTGGTCATTAGACGATAATGGCATCTTACCTAATACTGGTACGGTACAGGTATACAAAATTTTGCCCATTCTTTTCAACATCAGATATGACACTAAAAGGAATAAACTAAGTTACATATTAAATAATTGATATACATAATATGAACCCCTATATAAAAGATTGCGATATGTCTATAAATATTATTATGAAGACTCAAATACATAATGTAGAAATAACAACTCAAAGCTTCCCTTGCATTTTACTGATTGTAATATTACACACATGTTATGAGCATACTAAGAAATAAATAAAATTAGGAAATGTTTAAAATTATTCTTTATGGCACTATGGTAGTCAACAATAATTAGTCAACAATAATAAGGTTTAAGAGTCTGTTTATTAGTACTTTGGTCTTATAATTCATAGAATTCTATTCTGCATGAATCCTTTTACGATGTAATGGTACTTCACTTTTCCAGCGTGTTCGGAAGTCACAAAGATCACAAGCAAATGGTTTTTCCTCAGAATGGGTAAGTAAATGCTGTGTGAGGTGGCCCTTTCTTGCTGCCTGGAAATCACATTTTGAGCACTGAAAGGGACGTAATCCTGCATGAGTATGCTTAACTCTAATATGAACATTAAGATTGACTTTTCGACGTGTTCGATGGTTACAGAAATCACATTTGAAGGGTCTTTCGTCAGAGTGCTTTACCATATGGTATTGCAAGTAGGCATTTTTTGCTGCTCGGAAATCACATAAAGTACATTTGTATGGACGTGGACCTGGGTGAGTGTGCACTCTTTTAATGTGTGATTTTAGATCTCTCTTCAGGCGTGAGCTATAGTCACAGTATTCACATGTGAATGGTCTTTCGTCAGAATGTGTCTCCAAGTGGATCTTTAGAGTTTGTCTAGTTGCAAAACGGTGATCACAAGTAGGACATTGGTGGGGGAGTAATCCAGTGTGAGTTCGTTTGTGATTTGCTAAACTTGTTTTCGTTTTTGCTTTATATTCACATTTGTCACATTCAAATGGTCGTTCATTTGAGTGAATATATTGAATATGGGTTAATAATGTTGGTTTTGAAAAGGCACTGTAATCACAGTCATTACATTTGAACAGCCTTTGGCGATCAGAATGATGTATTTCAATGTGCCTTGCCAGGTTTTCATTTAGAGCAGCTCTGTAGTCACACATATCACAAACAAAAGGTTTTTCACCAGTATGAGTACGATAATGAAGAGTCAGCTGACGTTTAGTTTTTGATCCATAATCACATTTATCACAAACCCAGGGCCTATCACCGCTATGAAACAGCATGTGGATTTTCAATTGAATCTTATCCTTTGAACGGTGTTCACACTGATTGCACTCATATGGTCGAGCTCTGCTATGAGAATTTTTATGTTTTTTCAGGCTATTTTGTGTCTTTGTCTTAAAATCACATTCATCACACTGATAAGGACGTTCCTTGGCATGAGTACGTTTGTGAACTGCTAATCCACTGCTAGTTGCAGTGGAATGGTTGCATATGTCACAATGAAAAGGTTTCTCTCCTGTGTGTGTACGTTTGTGAACTGTCAACGCACTGCTCTGGACTGCTGAATAATCACACATATCACAAATATAGGGTCTTTCCCCCGTGTGGATAAGCTTGTGTTTATCTATAGAACTGCTAGTTGACGCAGAATAATCACATTTGTCACAAGAGTAAGGTTTCTCTCCAGTGTGAGTACGTTGATGAAGTTTCAAGGAACTGCTTTGAGCACCTGAATAGTCACACAGTTTACATTTAAATGGTTTTTCCTTGGTGTGTGTGCGTATGTGCCTTACTAAAGAGCTCTTTGTTACTCCAGAAAAATTGCATATTTCACAAGGAAAAGGTCTTTCTCCGGTGTGAGTACGTTTGTGCTTTTTCAAGCTGCTGCTTATGGATGTTGCATAGTCGCAGAGATTACACTGGAAGGGTCTCAGGGTTGTCTTCTTACGATTAGTAGGAGCCATATAGCCAATAGGCATAAGACTGTAAGGATGCTACTGTTAATAATATACAGGAATACAACAAAAGAATTAAAGAAACAACATGAAGTCAACATCTGAAAACATATAAATATTAATCGATACCACCAACAGCTCAATCACTGGATATGGGGGACTTAGCCGGTTCGACACGCTGCACAAACTGCTTCAACCAGATCGTTGCTCTGCTTTGCATTGACGTCGTCAATTAATCACTGAATGCATCATTTGTAATCCACATCATGTTGTGAAACACATTCATGTGATGCGTAATTGTTAAGTTTTGTGGTGCCAAATTGCAGTCAATTCTTGTACAGATTTTGAACAACTGTATAGACCTTTGCACACATACTAATTTAGAATTAGCAGGTCCGGTCCTAATCTTGTTTCAAGCAACAGATGTAGTAGAAGTTTAACTAAAATCAAGAATATCCAGAAGTTTTTTCTCCCAGAGCCAGTTATTTCATATTGGAACAAACTCCCTCCGGACGTCAAGAACAGGGATCGACCGGGGACGAAATTTAGCCGGGGCCGGGACCAAGTTGAATCAGCCAGGGCCGGGATTAACCGGGATTTTGAAATTATGCCAAGGCCGGGGCTGGGGCAGGGATTGGCTTAAATATGCCGGGGCCGGGGCCGGGATTTTTTAATCTAATTTTGAAAATTTTTGAAAGTTTCCGGAAACTCGTATCAATGTGAGCTAGCTTCAAGGTCAACCTAGAAGGCAGCTACACAATTTTTAAAGGATGAGGAACGATTATTTCTTTTTAATAGTTAAATGTAACTCAGAAAGGCTTTCTTGTAGCCGGACATAGATATTTCGGACACTGAAGCTGACACCGGAAACGAGTAGTCATCTGTGATCTGATGACTATCATCATCATCTGCATCGAGTTGGCCTCACTCTCTACTGTTTTTTGCTCCTGAACTAAATTGTTTGACGTTTGTACTAGTTATATGAAAGAAAACGGTACACGAACACATGACTTTACTCGAACTTTTTAATCAACCTCTAACTTTTTTAATCAACATTAATATTTTACATTCTTTGTAAATTCAAAGTTGAAATTTTCTGAATATCAAACTGGAATGATTTCAAGTCCGCGTATTTATATTTTTCACTCGATCTCATGTTACCGAAAATTTTGTGTTTAATTTAAGTCTAAAAATCAAGATAAATTCTGATAATCTATTGGTTTAAATTGAGGCAGAAAATACGAGAAATCCCGGCAAAATCCCGGCAAAAATTGACAAAAAGCCGGGCCGGGATTGGGGGCCTCTGGCCGGGATTTTGAAAATTGTTTTGCCGGGGCCGGGGAAAAAACACAAATCCCGGCCGTATCCGGGGCCGGGGCCGGGATCCCGGTTGATCACTGGTCAAGAACTTTGTAACAGTTTTAGGCTTTTAAATTAAATTAGAAGGATTTAAGAAAGATATGATTTCTAAAAGTATATGGCAAATGATTGCTTTTTAAAAATGTTTCTAATGAAGTTTTAGTAAGAATTGATCGAGTTTCGTCAGTAATAAAGGGAAACATAACAATTATCTTTGGTTTCATCCATATGTGGCTGGTGGCAAAGAAGTGTCTTATAAATATGTTTGTGTCCTTCCACATAACAATCCTCTCTCACTATGTTTCTGTCGTCATCCATCGCTTATTCGAATTAAAAGTCAGCCAATTAAAAACTTAATTATATGTTATATTTAGAGTTTAACATACAAATTTTAGATGGCTGACAATGGTGAGTCGATACGTTTAACTTGGGATTATTATAGTCTTGGAGCTCATAATGTCCCGTACTGTGGGCCATATATAAACGGCTGTGTGGCAGTGTCTTTTCTCAAAAAATTGTCTTTTCTCAGTGTTCGCGGCGCGGCGGACTGTGTATATGGTTGGATTTCAAATTTTAATTTATCTATAAATATAATATAATATGTATTGATTGTTTTGTAGTAGTTCTGATGCACGAACTGGAAAACTCCCAGACTATATCCTTTCCTGTAATGCACCTGCCATCCATGACATCTATAACGACATTGGACTCGAGCACGACATAGAAGAACCAAGAAACAATTCTGACCTTACAATATCTGAACCCCACTGCCAACACTTCCTTGACATGGTTATCAATAACCAACTCAAAATTCTTAATGGTCGTACCCTTGGGGACACCACTGGAAAAATGAACTGTCACAAATACAATGGAAGCAGTGTGGTTGACTATTTTGTAATCACCTCATGGGCAAGAGATCATGTAAACTCTCTCCAAGTAAAAGAGTTTACATCATACTCTGATCATTGTCCATTAGTCTTGAAACTCACTACATTTGAACCATTTGTCGCAAACTTCCAGCTCCCAGACTTTTCTAACTTTCCTTGTGGCTATAAGTGGGACAGCAACACCTCCCATTCACTATTTAAAAAAGCCCTTACCTCGCCCGAAATTATCAACAATCTGGAAAGCATTGTGACAAATGAATTTAGCAGTACTCTGGAGGGCAATCACGAACTGAACGATGCAGTCATAAAATGTCTCCACAGTGCTGCTGATATAGCCTTAAAAGTGAAAAAGCCTCCCAAAAATTCTGCCCGTAAAAAATGGTTCGACCCACAAGTCAACTCCTCGCGGCGGAACCTTAATAGGCTAGCAAATCGGCTTGGTAGTAAGCACTGTAACAGTATCCTCAGACTAGAATATTTTAAGCAACGCAACAAGCATAGCAATTTTGTAAACAGTAAGAAAGTAGCTTTCCTTAAGAAGTTAAATGAAGCTATAGAAGAAGGTCACATACTCGACTGGAAAAAATTTAAACGGCTTAAACAAGAACATGACACTAGCCCCTTACTTGACAAATTTGATTTAGCTAGCTTCCATGACTTCTTTGCATCCCTTTATAAAAAACCAGACCAGGAGCCAGATCTCACTCACCACAATCACAAACATTACCCTGAACCACCAGATCTGGATATCCTAAATAAGCTCATGTCAGAATCTGAAGTGACCTCTGCCATCAAAAATCTCAAAAAAGGTAAAAGTTGCTCAAACGACTTGATATCCAACGAGATGCTTCAGAGCGTAACTCCGCTTTGTCTCAA